TGTATTTGTAGGCCACACTAGGCAAAACTTTCAGAGCGACATGTTGAACAATGCAGCTGTGTCAATTTAGTGGATCCCAAAAGCAGACATGTCAAAAATCTGGCCACAGTTGAGGCGGTTAGGACTGAAAAATAAATGTTTGATTCAAATCAAAATAATTCATTACATTTATTTGTATTTTCTTTCCACTCACGAGGAAACCTCCAGGCCCCAGAGCAGTATTTCCATTGTCACAAGCGTTTGAGCTGATATAATGTATAACAAAACTTGCAGAATTACAAAAGATTTCGGTGAGAGTGTGACTCCGTGGTGCAACGGTAGCTCGTCGGACTCCAAATCAGAAGGTTGCATGTTCAAATCACATCAGTGTCAGGTGTATTTTGTAAGTAAAACTTGCATGACTACATTTTGAACAATTCAACTGTGTCAATTTAGCAGATCCCAAAGCATTTGGCCACAGTCGAGGTGCTGAGTACGAAAAAATGTATCTAAATTTGATTCAAATGAAAATAATGGATTAGATTTATGGTATTTTGTATTTTCTTTCTACCCATTAAAAAACCTCCAGGGTCCAGAGCAGGATTCCCATGGTAGCAAATGTTTGGAATAACAACTGTGATAAAAAGTACGACGGATCACTTGTGGCATGTGTGACTCTGTGGTGCAACGGTAGCGCGTCTGACTCCAGATCCGAAGGTTGCGTGGTCAAATCACATCTGCGTCAGGCATCTTTTATTGGTCACACTTGCTAAAACTTGCAGAATTACATGTTGAACAATGCCAATGTGTCAATTTATTGGATCCCAAAAGCAGACACATTTTAAATTTAGGCCCTGTGGTCAAACCTGACCCACCAGTTCTTTCGTAAAATCTGGCCCAGTATATTTGAAAGTTAAATAATTACGACGGTGGCCCGATAGTTACATGTACTTTGCTTTCAGACAATCTGTGAGGCCACCAATGTGTAAATTCCAAGTTTTGAATTTTAACTTTACATTTAAAATATTGGTTTTTGAACGAAGGCCAGCGCAACTTGTCTTAGCAGCAGCATCCAAAGTTTCTCAATACTATTTAGCCCTCATCACAGCACATCCACCGATATTTGGAAATTGCTATAATCGCTGAAACTAACTGATTAAGATAACCAGCTAGAAAAATATAAGTAAGGATAGGGTCAGATAGGTCAATTAAATACACATTGGGTGAATAATGGAACACCACAGGGTACTGTGATTAGTCCATTATTATAGTGTGAGAATAAATGATGTCTTTGCAAGGGTGTCTTGAGATATCGTGAGGTCACTGTTTGCGATGGAACACTGTGGAAGAGCAACAAGTATATGGAACATGCTACCAGAAAAGTAAAAGGTGCAATAGATGAGGTGGTAGAGTGGAATTATTGCAACGAGAAAAAGAGCAGGCCATTTTCAACACTTTAAATTGGTCGGTAACTTATAAAAATGACACCCACACGTGGACTGAACAAGTGTCTAGATTTGTGAAATAATATTAATATTAATACTCTTGTTAATATCATAGTGTGTTCTTTGTGTAGTACGGTTAAGTTAAGGTTACTTTATCCATTGTGCTCATTGGTGTTTTCTTGTGATTGGATCACCTTGTCTTTTCATGACATGCCATTTACGTTATTTATTTCTCCTTGCCATTTGCAAGTGCTTTTTATTCTGGCTCTGAGTACCAATTACCTAATTTGTACTTTGTCCGTCATGCATTTTTAAAAAAAAGAAATCACCATTTTTGTCAAAGAATTTTATCCTTGTCTACGTTTTGGGGATCCACTCCTAGCACAGTGTTGGGAAATTTCATCTTCTACACAAATTAGTTCAAAGTTCAGCTCACAAATCTTGAAATGAACTACATTTATAGTTCAGGTCATAGTTCATAATTATTTTTTAAACTAAGTTCATCAAAAATAAACTAGTTCATTGCTCTTTTTTCATTGATGATTTTTTTGTTTTATATATATAATATATGGCAGTGGCACCACGACTGTATGTTGTTAATATTTTGTGAATAGAAAGTCACCGCACTGCTGTGTGTCATCGTGCTTTGTTTTGATTTTTTTCCCCCCTCCAACAATGCATCACATTTTGATGAGCTATGTGTCATGTGACTGTTGGTGGCCGGGGTTGCTAAACCATGGCCTTTTCCTCCAAATTAAGGCTCGCTAAGTGTTTAGCCGGGTTTTCTCCTTATCGTCTAACAAGATAAAACGTGGCACTCTTGAACAGAAATGAACTGCCATTCAAAAAGCGTTCATTCGCCCCAGAATGAGCTCATTCAAAGAAACGTTCACGAAGCAGAAATACACTATGTTCAGTTCATGCTCACCCAAAATAAGAACAAGTTCATGAAGTTCATCCATTGGGTCCAACATTGTGCATAGGTGGCATATGGGGCCGCAAAAAAAAAAAGGTTTCAGAGATTGGAGAAAATAAAGGGACAAGTATTCAGATTATGGAGAGGGACATTTTCACCGGTGTCTGCTCTTCAATTGGTATTGGAAGAAATGTCCTTAGATTTCAAGATGGAAACAAGGGATGTCATAATATTATGAGGCATGAAATGAGGTTTTTCGCATCGCAGTTTGCATTTTGCGCATCATCAAAACACGAGACGGTTCCAAAAAGCTTCGCTGGGCTGGATGCATGCACGTTACGTCACTTATTTGTGGTAAGTAGCTGGTCATGGCAAGTTTTGAGCTTGGTGCTACTTATGCCACGCTTGCTAGCTAACAAAGAGCTTTGCTTGCCAGTGCTGTTGCTAAACGGGAACTGTTCCATTTAATCCCAGCCAAGTTTCCAAACAGTTCAGCAGTATTTTCTGATCAACTGTATCAAAAGCTGCACTGAGATCCAGCAAGACTCATTCCAAGACCTTCCCTGCGTCGGTGTTCAATCTTATATCATTTCTTTTTTTTTTTCTTTTCTTGTCTTTTTTTTTTTTTTTTTAAATAAGAGCTGTTTCTGTACTGTGTTGAGGTCGGAAGCCTGTTTGGAAGTCATCAAAAAGTTTGTTTGAGGTCAAGTAAAACTACTTTTGTGACAATCTTGGTTAAGAAAGGAAGGTTTCAGCTTTGTCATTTGATAGCAAGATGACATCCGGAATTCTGTCGTTGTTGTTGGGTTTTTTTTTTCCAACAATTAAATGAAATAAGACACTGGCTTGGTACATGTTGGCCTTAGTGTGATCTGTTTGGAAAGTGAGGGAACGGATGGTCACTGCTGTTTTGGATCATATTTGCTGGAGGATTTATTCATTCATTTTAAATAACATTTACAAAGAAACGTTTGGTGGCTGTCAAACTCATCCGGGCTGCTGGTTAACACAAGGCAAAGTGAAGCAAAGAGGCATTCCAAACGTATGTAAAGTGAGTAATGTGAGTGCATGTACTTTCCCTTACTTCCCCCTCATTCTTCTTTTTCTTTTCCCCTCCACTTCACGTATCCTCATGCTTTAAAAGTAAAGACCCATATAACCTCAATGATCGTAAATTGAATTGATTTCACCACAGATTTGCTTCATTTTTTTTTCTTATAATTGTTTATCCATCCCTTCTATCAGGACAACACAAATTAACTTTGTTTATAGATAGAAACTGAACATACTGTACAGTACTGTATTTCCTAAGAGGTGTGAACAACAAATAGTCAGATGCTGGAAGTGAGTCATAAATACTGTTTCTTCATGCCAAACTGCACTGTGACATCAGTGGAAAAACACACGGCGCTGAGTCAGGAGACATTGACGGGTGTTGTAAACCCCTCTTCAGCAAAACTCTGTCCATTATTTACCTCATCTTCTGTGACCTTACATCAACTGTAACCATTTATCCAATGACTTAATGAGAGCTAATTTTGACTGATTTCAACATGAGGTTTTAGTAGCACCTTACAGAACGAGGGAAATAGGAGAGTTTGGGCATACTGTATATCCTTCTTTTGTTCTCCCTACATTGTGCAGTGTTTTTCCTTATCAGTTACAACCTGGTTAAGGTGCACCCTTGATAGGTTGAGAAAAAAATACCCATTGAATGCGCTGTACATTTATTTCTTGAAGGTGAACAAACCGATTGATTCAAGAGTTTTGGACTGTGACAAATTGTTACAGTGGCCTAATGTTGATGATATTAAGTTGCAATATACAATTAATAAGACCAACTTTCCTTGGGCAAGAATAAATATTGTACGAAGGACCAGCAGTCTCACATCACACAAAATTTTTGTTTTTATGAACTTTACTTTTATTACACAACCTACTATTAGCTGTTAGCTACCAGCTAACCGTGCTCAGTATATACCGTCGCTAGCAGGCCAAGAAACTTAATGCAACAGTGACAAGAGCATAACAAATCACTACTGCATTTTGGATTTAACAGGTGGCGACACGGTGAAATTTGCCTTGAAACAAAATACCGGTACATAATTTAATTGGCAGCAGTTTTCACCTTTTATTTCATTGTGATTGCAAAGGACTACATTGAAAGTTATGCTTTGACCCGAGCAACAATGTTCTCCCACGTCGTCTCCTTCTCTTTAGCAGCTGCAGCGATGTTGCACTTCTTCCTGAAAAAGTGTTCAAACTCACTGTCTGAGCACATTCATATGCATTTCTAGTTCTAGTGGGGTGAAAATCGCAGGCATGTTATTCCCCGTTGCTATGTTGACTCGTTGAATCGGGGAGCAAATGGTGCTGAATTTTCACACTCTTCCTGGACTTTTAACACTGGCCACTTTGCAGTGTACAGACTACAGAACAAATGGTACCAATGAACTTTCTAAGCAATGAGTGGCTGTCTGTCATTGAGCAGCATTTAAAGTACAAGGACTTCATTACTAAAGTAGCCTTTTCAGGTATCTTTAGTTTAGCTTTTTGTCTGCAACATTCTATTTACTACTTCGTCAAAATAGGCTCATTGCGTTCTTTTCGTAGATAAGAGACAGATTAAGTAGACATAACATAAGAACCAGCTGCAAACACAAACGTCAATAAACTAGTTGTTGAGGAAATTGAATCACATCAAAACATTTGGAAGGAAGACAGTACGTCACAGCTGCGCCTCGGTTCCACCCTTTAAGAGGAGGGACAGTGACGTCATATTTCGCGCCCACTCTGGATGACGCTCAAGCACAATAGCTCAGTCGCTCCAGTAACGTTTCAGTAGCGGACAGTAAAGGTTACCTGCTTCAACAGTGCTTGAACGGCAACCTTAACTGTCTCTATTTCGTCACTAAGACCGAAAGAACAAGATTTGATTTAGAAAAAAGAAAAAGCCTTCAGTGGTCGTGGTTAAACTTGATCTAAATCGCTTTCTCTCGCAAGCTAACCTGTTCGGGTTGTTGACTACGCACGTCTTTTGAACCAATTCGACCTTTTCGCAAACAAAGGCCGCTCTGAATCAAGGTAAGAACACTTCTACATGTCTAATAAATTTGCATGTATTGATTTTTCGACCGTCGTCTTCGATCAGTTGATTGTTTATATGTCGTCAGTGCGGCCTTGACGCAGTCTCGGCCTTGCTGCTATCATATTTCAATAGCTTCCGCCGCTTGTTGACGACGTTTTTCTTTAATCCAATCCATCAATTATCCGAACCGCGTATTTAATATCGTCTAATAAATTTGCATGTATTGACTTTTCGACCGTCGTCTTCGACAAGTTGATTGTTTATATATCGTCAGTGCGGCCTTGACGCGGTCTTGGCCTTGCTGCTATCATATTTCAATAGCTTCCGCCGCTTGTTGACGACGTTTTTCTTTAATCCAATCCATCAATTATCCGAACCGCGTGTTTAATATCAAAATGCAAGATCGTAGAAACGTATTTTCCAACAAAATGAATTCATATTGAAAATGTAATTTGAGATTTTATTGTCTTGTGCGTCCGCGTGTCATTACATTTATCGTGGGGTTACGCATGTGCAGTGTAGCTTAGAAAATACACGCGGTTACATCATTACATACACCTGCGCAAACAAGACTAAGCGTGATTGTAAAAGTGGTTTCTTTTAAACTCGCTAGATTATGTATACTGCAGTCTCTTATTCCAGTCTTTTACACAGGCTACAGAGTTCCTGGATTACAGCTATATTTGAATGACATGGATTCGTATATATTTTTTGGGGTATTTCAGAACAATGAGTTCCCAGGTGAGACAAAACTTCCATCAGGACTGCGAGGCTGCAATCAACAGGCAGATCAACCTGGAGCTGTATGCTTCCTATGTTTATCCACCGAATTCTCTTATTCCAGTCTTTTACGCAGGCTACAGAGTTCCTGGATTACAGCTATGTTTGAATGACATGGATTCATATATATATTTTTTGGGGTCTTTCAGAACAATGAGTTCCCAGGTGAGACAAAACTTCCATCAGGACTGCGAGGCTGCAATCAACAGGCAGATCAACCTGGAGCTGTATGCTTCCTATGTTTATCTGTCCATGGTAAGTGTATGCCTGCATCTCTATCCTCAAGGACCCTCTTGGGAGATCAGCAAATATGCTTGATTGGGTGAAGGAAAAAATTGGGTTTGGGTGAAGGTATTTAAATCGATTCAGAGACTTAAGTAACCTTTAAAATAACATAAAATAAACTCGCAAGGTATCTGCCAGTACTTAAAATGTGCAACTGAGGCCTTGGTCTTTGGGGGGCATCGCAGTTTCACAAAGGTTGAAGTGCATTGAGATAAGGTTAGTGTTTGTCGCTTGCCCTCAAAACAGAGCCAATATATAACCGGTAAGAGTAGATGTCCTGTTTCATATATGCAAGACCACTTGAAGTTAGTGTACAATGTGATGTAATTAATCCTCCAAAGTAAAACTAAGTTTTGAGACTCTTGTTGCACTCTTATTTTGTTCGGTGAGTTTAATACTGGTACCAAAGAACATTTATTTAATTCAGAGACTTAAGTAACCAATAAAATAAAATAAACTCGCATGGTATCTGCCAGTACTTAAAATGTGCAACTGAGGCCCTCTATCCTCAAGGACCCTCTTGGGAGATCAGCAAATATGCTTGATTGGGTGAAGGAAAAAATTGGGTTTGGGTGAAGGTATTTAAATCGATTCAGAGACTTAAGTAACCTTTAAAATAACATAAAATAAACTCGCAAGGTATCTGCCAGTACTTAAAATGTGCAACTGAGGCCTTGGTCTTTGGGGGGCATCGCAGTTTCACAAAGGTTGAAGTGCATTGAGATAAGGTTAGTGTTTGTCGCTTGCCCTCAAAACAGAGCCAATATATAACCGGTAAGAGTAGATGTCCTGTTTCATATATGCAAGACCACTTGAAGTTAGTGTACAATGTGATGTAATTAATCCTCCAAAGTAAAACTAACTTTTGAGACTCTTGTTACACTCCTATTTTGTTAGGTGAGTTTAATACTGGTACCAAAGAACATTTATTTCAGCCCTATTCCAGGAAATTGCTTAACTTTAAGTTAATTAGTAACCCAGACCTCCTTTATTTTCCTATTTGTAGGGTTACTACTTTGACCGGGATGACCAGGCTTTGCACAACTTTGCCAAGTTCTTCCGGGACCAATCGCATGAAGAGCGCGAGCATGCAGAGAAGCTCATGAAACTTCAGAACCAGCGCGGTGGGCGGATCTTCCTTCAAGATGTCAGGGTATTGACTCAATTTTTCGTCTTGTTTTCCCTCCTTTACTTACTTCAACGCTTATCACAAAGACCAAATTGGGAGTGCAGCACAGTGTGAATGAAGATACTGAGGGTGTGTGGGTGTTCAGTGCTGCTTATCTTTTGTAAGGGTCACAAACAAGCCCCGAGGCTGAAGTAAACTGCAAACTTGAGATTAACGTACTTGCTGTTTGCCTCAGGTCAGAGGCCTGTTTTAAGATTAAACGTATCGTTTTCTTCTTCTGCTTTGTTGCAGAAGCCTGAACGGGATGAGTGGGGCAGTGGTGTTGAGGCCCTTGAATCTGCCTTGCAGCTTGAAAAAAGTGTGAACCAGTCCCTTCTGGACTTGCATAAGCTGTGCTCCGATCACAATGACCCACATGTGAGTTTTAAACAAAACGGGAGCTTTAGAAATGATTTTACCTTGTGTTGGTGCAAATCTTGCATATTTCTCTCGTTTGGATGTTGACACAAGGTAAAATTCTCTTTCTGAAGATGTGAGCGAAACGATTGTATCTAACAATTATTTAATGTTGCAGTTGTGTGATTTCATCGAAACCCACTACCTGGATGAACAGGTGAAGTCCATCAAAGAGCTGGCAGACTGGGTGACCAACCTGCGTCGCATGGGTGCCCCACAGAATGGCATGGCAGAGTACCTGTTTGACAAACATACTTTGGGCAAGGAAAGCAGTTAAATCCCTCCACATTGCTTTCTTTGTATCTTGCTTTGTGTTTGAAAATGTGAATTCATCTTCATGCTACAAGCCAGTACGTTAACTTATCCTCTCGCATTCGACCTGCTGAAGTGAACTTGTACTCTCAGAACAATGCCGCGTGACAGTGCTTGTTGTAATCTGCATCCCGCTTTGCCATTGTGGTATTCTTAACACTACAAGCTGTCGACCAGACCAAATAAACCACCTGAAAGATGATTTGTCAGTTTGTGTGTTGTCTGTAAAAAAAAAAAAAGGAAATTTGTTCTGAAGAAATTCATGTTGGTCAGCAAAACATGCCAGATGTGCGGGTACAGCATTTCACTTTATTGGTCTAAACCTGATGCTAATTTACATAAATCATTGCCGACTAGTAAGACTATATAAACCATTTGCATGTGCTGTAGTCAGGGAGATGTTAATGTTTTGACCACATTTAAACTTGCAGAAATGAGTGTTTTAAGGAAGCAATTGAGGTTGTCACTCTTAAGGGTTGGCATTTCATAGAGTTCCAACAAAATTTGCTTAATCGTCTCATGAATTCTCTGAGTTGCATCATCAAATCCTGCTCAACAAAATAAAGAACACTTAACCTATATCCCAATTTATAAAATCAATTTTCTGAGCGGCTGCACTGGAGCCTCTCACAGCTGTCTTTGGACAGTGAGTGGGCACACCAAACAGGTTGTCAGCCAATTGCAGGGCATGCAACCATTCATTCACACCATGGGACAATGGCTGTGTCCAAATTCATTTGGAGGACCCAGCCTTAGTGTTCAATTAACCAACAATGCATGTTTCGAGCGGCTGCACTGGAGCCTCTCACAGCTGACTTTGGACAGTGAGTGGGCACACTAAACAGGTTGTCAGCCAATTGCAGGGCACGCAACCATTCACACCATGGGACAATGGCTGTGTCCAAATTCATTTGGAGGACCCAGCCTTAGTGTTCAATTAACCAACAATGCATGTTTTTGGAATGTGGGAGTAAAATGGAATACCTGGAGAAAACACAGGCATTCATGGGGAGAGCATGCAAACACCACACAGGAAGGCCGACGCCTGGATTCGAATCCCAATACCCAGCCTATGAATCTGGACACAGCCTTAGTGTTCAATTAACCAACAATGCATGTTTTTGGAATGTGGGAGTAAAATGGAATACCTGGAGAACACCCAGGCATTCATGGGGAGAGCATGCAAACACACAGGAAGGCCGACGCCTGGATTCGAATCCCAGACCTCTACTGTGAGGTGGATGTGCTAATCAGTCGGACAACATGCTGCCCTCACTGAATGAAACATTCCAGTAAAATCTTTTAGTCTGTGTTGAGAGAACTCAAAATTATCAATGCAAGTTATTGAGTTATTGGTGGTCTTGATGAACAGAAACTTTTGTGAGAAATATGCAAACAACACTGTTTCACAGAACAGTGTGTGTGAGTGTGTGTGTGTGTTACATACACACACACACACACACACACGCAATCTTTATATACACGCGCGCACACACACACACACACACACACACACAATACTTGAGTTGAAAATTTGTATTTTCATGTTACAACAGTTCGATGGGTATGAAATGGTGGGAACTCATCCACCTCACAGTGCAGAGTGCAGGGTTCAATTCCAGGCCCCGGCCTTCCTGTGCGGAGTTTGTATGTTCTCCCCTCCGTGCCTGCGTGAGTTTTCTCTAGGTACTTCCGCCTTCCAAAAACACTCAATTGTCCCCAGGAGTGATTATGAGCGCAAATGTTTTTTTGTTAAATGAGCAGTCACTTACATGGCACTTTTTCTACCTTTGGTAATCAAAGCGCTTCACGCCATTTACCAACTGATGACGCACCATCTGTAGCAACCAGGGGTTCTATGGTGCCCTGCGATTTGCTGGCAACCAGTTGAGGTGCACGCCACCTACTACCCCAAGACAGCTGGGATAAGCTCCAGCATGCCTGCGACACTGGTGAGGATAAGCAGATCAGTCAATGGATGGATGGAATAGTTCTCTGGTAGTTTCAGAAAGTAAGGGATTAAACAAGGAAAACGTTTTTGAATTTATTCATTTTCACATTTTTAATTTTAAAATAATTGTACACATTTTGTTTCATCCAAAAGGAACTTATATATTTATAGTGTTTCAAAGAATTTGGTTTGTCTTAATATTTTACATTTAAACATCTTGTTTTCTACCCCAAAAAACAAATGATTAATTGAATATAATAAATCTTTATTTACATAGCGCTTTCACAACAGCTGCAAGTGTAACAAAGCGCTTCACAAAACAGTTGTGTAACTGCAATTTGATTTATAAGGACAGACCTCAGGAAGCAGACGCAAATGTACACAAGAGCAGTGACTGCGTGACGCTGGTACATGATTTTTCTTGGCTACAGCCAGGGTGATGGCAGTGAGTATGCATGCCAGGAACCTTTTACAAATAAGTGTGATTTCAATTACGACCAAAACAATCGTGATGAATTCACCTCAATATTTACATGCACACGAAATAAATGCCCAGCCCGCTTCAACAATTCTTCATGAGCTACAAACATTGACATGTTCATTGAGTAAATTGAAAGCAATGCTTCAATATATGAGAGACAAGCACATGCAAAATCCTGAATATCAAGGTACTCCCGCACAACAGGAAGTTAATTCGACATGACTTTATAGAAAGCATCAAAACAAACCACGCTAAAACTACATAACCGGGACAGACCTCAGGAAGCAGACGCAAATGTGCACAAGAGCAGTGACTGCGCGACGCTGGTCCATGATTTTTCTTGGCTACAGCCAGGGTGACGGCAGTGAGTACGCATGCCAGGAACCTTTTACAAATAAGTGTGATTTCAATTTCAAATGAATTCACCTCAATATTTACATGCACACGAAATAAATGCCCAGCCCGCTTCAACAATTCTTCATGAGCTACAAACATTGACATGTTCATTGAGTAAATTGAAAGCAATGCTTCAATATATGAGAGACAAGCACATGCAAAATCCTGAATATCAAGGTACTCCCGCACAACAGGAAGTTAATTCGACATGACTTTATAGAAAGCATCAAAACAAACCACGCTAAAACTACATAACCAATGCACACTTGTATCTCTGGAATTAAAGGAACAACATACAACGTTCTTGATCCACTTCATGCTTCTTCCAGCTCCACGAGTACACCATCACAGTCTTTGGGATGAAGAAACATCACTGGTTTTCCATGAGCTCCAATTCGTGGCTCTGCAGAAAGAGTTCTGATGTTCTTTAACTTCAGGTCTTTGATCGCAGCGTTGATGTTGTCAACCTGCAACAGATTATTCCAATGGTATAAATGATGATCTCTGGTTGATTCACGGTTACTAATAGTCAATCTATAAAGGAATCATCCAAAAGACAAATATCCCAAAATGAGTACCGGTAGTAAACTTTATGAACACCATCATGAGCATGTCCAACTTGAATAATAAAAACAAGAGTGTCCTGCAGTGATGACATGCTTTAAGCTATAAGAAAGTAAAACAAAATACCCCTTTTCTTGTGCTCACCTCAATACAAATGTGGTGCATTCCGCCAGCTTTGTTCTTCTGCAAGAATCCAGAAATGGGGCTTTTGTCACCCAGAGGATGGAGAAGCTCCAGCTTTGTGTTGCCGAGCTCCACAAAGACTGTGTAGACGCCATGCTCTGGGAGAGGCACTTTTTCACTGACTGTGGCCCCGAGGACGTCTCGATATAGGGCTGTGGCCTTGTCCATGTCTGGGACAGCAATGGCAATGTGGTTCAGCTTGCCCAGTTTCCACAGTGAGCCGGGGATACCCTGATGAAGGGGTGCTGAGGTCGAATGTGCTCTTCGGAGTGCGAGATGAGAATGTCTCGAGAGACTGGAAACTTAAAGAAGACCAGGAGAACAGGCTTAACCGAATACTTAAGTTAAAGTATGGTTTGTTATGTATAGGATTATAAAGACAAATTAACAGGCCAGCGCTTACATTTTTTTGTGAAAAAGACATGGAATTTTGCATAAAGACATTCAGCCTAGATAACAAGGTCAATGATGAGGCACATGGATCATTTGTGGGGATGATGAGTCTCGCGGGATGGGCTTGTTTCAACAGAAACCGGATCAAAGTGACGGAGCCAATAATATACTGTGTCTAAAAAAAACTTTCTGCAGTTTATACATGTTGACTTCTCTTGACAGCGGCTTCATTGCTTTGCAAGTTAGCACAAAACAAATTACGATGATCGATTACTTGCTGAAAATGTTGAATACAATATGGCAAAATAGGCCCGCAAGGTAAAAACTGTTTAAAGGTTTAAAGTGCTATTTCGGACCAACAAACAACTTAAACAACAAAACTTAGCGTCAACGTTTTCAGTAGCTCGCTAATTGGTTATCAGCACATTGCGTTTTTGTTCAAACAGTTTATTGCGGAACATCGCATGACCACTTGTTCATATGTAGCCTAATATAAAGGAAAAAAATACCAATAGTAAAAATCCCCTATGTCATATGTCATACATTTAAAAACCAACCTGCAACCTTCAGAAATGCGGACGCCATGTCTCAACGCCGGCAACGGAACAAAAATAAACCGGAAAGTTTCTGACAGAGCCTATTTCTATGCGACACGGAGCTTCCCACATGTATGAGCAACGATGGCGAAAACTGACGAATGCATTACATTGGAAGACTGTTTGAATAAACTGAACGTCAACACACAACATCCAGATCATTTTCTGAGGCAAGTGTTCTTCATATCTACGAATGGTTGTGCTTTTATTGGAAAACTTGTTTCAACGTTGCATTTTGGTGGACTCGTGATCTCGCTAACTTATAGCTTAAACTATGTAAATAGCTTCATAGTGTGCTTAACTGTTGATTCAAGAATCGAGTAAATTCAGTATATACAGCAATACAACACAGCACGTAACTGTTACGAATGAGGTGCCAGTTCCCGATAGTGATTGCTGATGCGGTTACGTTGTTGTGGCAGAGTAAAGCAATTGAGAGGTGATGCCTTTAAATTACGAAAGAATAATGAAAAATCAAATAAATACTGGAGGAATTGAGTCACACAAAGTAACACATTCTGTACTATATATGTGTATATTTTCACAAGATATGAACGTCACCGTGTAATACCCCATATCTTGTAGTACCTGGCAAATGTTACTCTTAGCATGAGCACTGATAAGTAGGTGTTTTTGTA